CTGAGCGACGGCGCCCTCAACGTGTTCCTTCTGCACACCTCCCCCAAGGACCCCCGGGAAAAGCTCTCTCTCGTCCAGGTCGAGCGCCCACATGAGTCCCCCGTCGCCCTCATCGCTACGACACTAAAGAAAACGGCTTCAACTGAAAAAGAAAACGGCATAGATGAAAATGCAGGGGAAGCTCCTCTATTAGTGACAGCCGGGGAAGATTCAAGGCTGTTCATTTTCCGCCTCGTACGAGTAGGGAAAGTGACCAAACTGGAGCCTGTCGGGTATTATCAGTTGCTTGATATTCCGGAACGAATTAAGATTAAGTCTGTAAGTCATTGCGGTGTTGTTGTTATCTAATATGATTGTTATTATTATTCTTATTATCATTTATATCACTTATTAGAGCAGTAGTACTGTTGCAATAGTAGTATCATAAATATTTCTGTCAATACTTATTTGTATCTTTACATATTCTATCATTTTTGCATTTTTTTCATAACATTATCATTATTACTCTTATCATCATAATTATCATTATCATCATTTCTATCATCATCCTTATATATATATATATATATATATATATATATATATATATATATATATATATATATATATATATATATATATATTATATATATATATATATATATATATTTTTTTTTTTTTTTTTTTTTTTTTTTTTTTTTTTTCATTGCCACTGTCATTATCATTATAACCGTCATTGTCATTATATTCGATATCGTCATTATTATAGTCATTACTAGGCATGATTATTCTCACCATTTGTATTCTCAGTATCATCATCACTGTTTATATTACAGTCACCATTACCCTCACCATCCCCGTTACTTCCATCCAGGACGTGATTCACGTTGAGACGAGCACAGGCGTGGTGTTCGAGGTGACCGCTGACCTGACCTCGACCTCGCGCCCTTCGCCCGAATCCTGGCGTCTACACCATCACTCGAGCCCCCGGGAGGTCTGGCAGACGGAGACCGCTGTTCAGAGGCAACTGCTGGAGGAGGTGACGGAATCCTACTGCGCTCCTGACGCTGTGGTTCTCGCGGTGCCGTCGTGAGTGTCGGAAATTTAGGGGGTTATTTTGTGTCAGTGTGAGTCGGTGTTTCAGTACGGAGGTTCGTGGTTCGTGAATCGTTTTCCCCATCTGCGTATCGTTAACTTGTTACGTTTTTGTTTGTTTGTTTGTTATAATTCTTTCCTTTCCTTTTCTTTTTTCGTCGTCTGTCTCTTTAGATCTTTAAGTTTGTATGTTTCGCAGTTTCAGTATAGAGGTTCGTGGTTTGTAAAGGATTTTGCATCCCGCCTGAGTTGCAGACTAAAAGAGCAGTTTTTGTATAAATATATATATATATATATATATATATATATATATATATATATATATATATATATATATATATATACACATATATTTACATACATATACACACACACATGTATTTCCCTATCTATCCATATATACATATATATACATATATACATATATATACATATATATAAATGTATGTACAGATTTATATTTTCAGCTGCGTTCGGTGTTGTTACTATCTATGATTATTTTCTCTTCTCTTTTTTGGCTTTGTGATTCATAAGTTAATTATAGATGTTGTCAATATGTTCTGTAATATCCCTTTGTTTCATTGTGTATTTGCGGTTCGTTTTTTTTTTTTTTTTTTTTTTTTTTTTGTCTTGATATAATTTCCTTGTCTTCACTATTCTTGTCTTTTCTCCTGGATAATTCGGTAATTATAAAACCATCGGTTCAGAAATAATTCCCAACAAATCTCATCATTATCACCAATTTTACACCTTTTCTTATCTTCCAGGCCGGACGGAGAGACCATCGTAGGCGTGACATCGAGAGGAGACGTCGTACATCTCCATCTCTCTCAAACGACGTCTTACAGCGTCAGACTCGCCCGAAGGCAGCCTTGTACAGCTCCGTCGGTGTCCCACTCCCCGACGCTCGTCCTGCCTCCCGGAGACCCGTGTGACGTGCAAGGTAGGGGTGGCGACGGCGAAGGTGTGTGCTTTGTGACTGTACTTTTGCTGTCAACTGTATCTTTGCCAGCAACGATGGCTCTGTCGTCAACCACATGTTTGTAGTTAACTGTGTGTTCCTTGTCAGGTTTTGAATTACCATTAGCTTACTCAGGTGTTTTTAAAGTTATGAATGAAAATAGACATTTTGTCAACAAGATATCTGATCAACGTTTTGATATTCTCATCCTCGTCACAGTTACGTTTAGTAGACATCTCGAGAAATCGTTCATTCACTCATACTCTCATTTTGATATCTGTATCTGGTACATTTGAGAAGAGGACCTTTGTCGCTAGGAGTATTCAAGGCTGAAAATTAATAATTTCACAAGATTTCACAGCCTGTCGTTCGTACTTTTCCAACAATTGTCACTATAAACTCACAATTTTCTTTTTGTTTCCCTTTCTCCCCACCTCCTCTCTCTCTCTCCTCTCACTCTTATGA